TGGAAGGCCACAGAGTTCTAAGCCGAGTTCTAAGCAATGCCAACTTTAGAGACAACCTCAAGCCCCGGGGCCCCTGGTTCAAAGTCTGCGAAGTGTTTATTTGATCGTACAGTGCAGACACGTAGACCTCGCTCAGCGCCAACGGGGTAAAAGTGGAAGAGACAAAAGTCACTCTGAGAGAGTTGAACAGTCACCTAAAAAATGAGGTGAAAGTTACACTGAAACATGGCTCAATGTACATGGTTTTGTTTTGCTTTTTCCTCCTCGAGACTTGCCCCGGCCGGCTTCCAGCCTCCTCGTGCAGCGGATGCGGCTGGGCTGGCGTTGGGGCTTCTAGGTGGGGGCCTTTGGCGCTTGCCAGAAGGGGGCAGTGGTGAGGAGGGCGCTGGTGGCCGACGCGCTCACTTGCTCGCTCCCGGCAGGAGACAGCGAGAGCTCTTCCTAGCAGCAGCCTCACCTCTCTACCTCTTGCTGCGGACAGCGCAGGGCGTGTGTGCCTGCATGCGTGTGCAGAACCCACACCTTGCTCGCGCTGAGCACGCGCTTCACCACTCACCACACCCCAGCCCAGCCCAAATGGGGAAGAAGCAGGGAAGTGCTGTCCGAAAACTGGGGCGTTTAGGATGGGAAATAGGGTGCCGCTGGCCTTGCAAGGACCTGGACCAGGAAACTGAGGCGGCTCCCACTGCATCCCGTGGTGAGCGCAGGCCCGTCAGCCCCCTGACCTGGACTCTTGTGCTGAGTCCGGCCAAGTCAGCCTTGTCTCAGCTTGGTCTCATCAGCTCTGGCTAGCAGGGGATAAAACAGTCACCTGTGGGTCGGCAGGGCCACAGCTTAAGGGAGCTTGGGGCCTGGTGTGGGGGCGCACGCTGTAATCCCAGCTCGGGAGGCCGAGGCAGGAGGATCACTGCGAATTCAAAACCAGCCTGGGCTACAAAATGAGCGCAAGGCCAGCCTGAGCTGCATAGCGAGACTCAATCTTAAAACAAAACAAAAAACGGGAGCATGGGAGGCCATGACAGCATGTTTACAGTATGTAGGAATCTTTTAGGGGGTGTTGTTGAGACAGCAGGGTCTTCCTGTGAACTTGCGGTGAGTGATGTGCCTCCCGAGTGCTGGAATTAGAGGGCAGCATTACCACACCTGCCTGAATGTAGGAACTTCTTATTCAAAGTTAGAGTACAGATAATGTGCTAGTGTCCTGAGAGATAGGTGGGCTGTATGTAAGCACCGAGTCGCGTGCTGCGTGCGATGGCTCAAGGGCTGCCGCGTTCGTACACTGACCCGATGGCGCCACTAGATAGAGAGTGAGAGCTCAGGGGAGGGAGAAGGCATCTAATGACAAGCTCCAAGTGGTTCACACAGGGCCGGGTGGCTTCGCGGTCAGAGCTGTGGCTGAGAGCAAAAGTAGCATTTATTGCGTTACCCAGAAACAGTCATAATGCGCGTGGAACTCTTTCCCACCGGAAGGATTTCAGTGGGGCGCCAGAACTCGAGACCATGCGGTTAAGTGAAGTAAAGCAGACGGAGGAGCACGCTGTGTGGTTTCTCCTACACGAGAAACCCAAAATACGGAGAAAGAATAAATAAAGGAGAGAAGCTTGGAAACAAAACATTGTGGGAGATGGGGAAGAGAACTGGGGAGGGGGAGCTGCGGTGGGTGAATGGGTCAGAATGACCAAGATATGCTGGAAACACACAGGTCCCCAGAGGAGCATAACTAGTGCGTACAGCAAACAGACACCAGGAAGATAAAATAAATCACTGACTACTACCAAGAAATCTGTATCTTCCGGCCAGACGCAGTGGCCCATACTTGTAATCCCAGAACTCCGGAGGCTGAGGCAGGAGGATGACCTCGAGTTTGAGGCCAGCCTGGGCTACATAGTGAGATTCTGACTCAAAACAGTTAAGGCTGAATTATTATGGCAAAGTTGTTTACATGGAGTTTCACATAAAAATGACTTATTTCATCATGTTAACATTGAAAGCTTACCTTAAACTCTCCTAAGAAATT